TCATTCTTTTTAGGAGGAAAGTCACTATCAGATGGACCAGATTGGCAACCAAATTTGAAGGCGGTGCAAACAACAATCCGCTTTGCATTGCCACGGGACGACTGGAAAACAAGTAACACACGAACTATAACACCCAACCACCTACTAATTACTAATTCACCGCCCAAATCCTATTAACACCTTGTGTTAAAGACAGCAGACGCCGCTTCAGCTGCCGTAGATAGGATCCTGAACACTTGGGGAATAAGCTCCAAGCTAGCCCGCTGTGAAGAATGATAGAGCACGAGAAACCGTAGCGAAGGAAGACAAAACACAGACTGTAAGAGCAGAAACTGGATGAAAGGCTTCTGGGCCTAATGAGACAAGGGCCAAGTTTCAGAATGTACACATGCCATAGGTTTATAGTTGCCCTTTTGGAGTTCTCCACCGGGCGTTAATAAAATAAATGAATGAATATGTTAGTCAGCACTAAGCGATTGTTATGATGTTACAGGACTACCAAGTCTACCGTTGTTCTCCAATAGTTTAATGTAACCCACGCACACAACCAATAATCAGAGGGGCTACCGAGACCAGCTTCTGAGAGCAGACGGCTTTTACCCGAATTTGGACAAATGAAAGGTCGCAGTTCCTTTCATTCTTAGTAGTTCAAAGTTCCTTCACACCCCCTCTAACATCTCGGGGCTTAAACTATGCCTTTGCGAGCTTACTGTTAATTTGGTCACACTGAAAGTCCGCTCAGGATCGGCAGACATGGCAGGAATTGCCAATATGTCGAGGGCAAACTTGCTCAAGCTTGGGTATTCTTCTTGATGGTCCTTCTACCACAGCATAGGATTCAAGTTCTCTCGCCGGATCGGTCCCTGCCTCATATAAGCTGCAAGTTCATCGTCTTCTTCCATCATGTGCCGATCCTGGCTCTGCATCCACTGGTCGAATTGACTAGGCTCGGCTTGCCTCATCGCTTTTCTAATTTCATACTTGAATTGAAGTCAGCGCTGTAATAGACACCTCACGCATGAGGGACCGTTGCACGATTGGACATCAACGACAGGGAGCCGGAACTAAATTGCATTGACGGAACGCCTATGATGAGAGAGTGTTACAACGTGGGAAACGTCTACTTAACACAGATCGATAGTTGCCCTATTGGAGGAGTCTCCTGCTGTTATGTTAACATAAGCCCGCGCCACATCGCAGCTTGACCCCCATTCTCTCTTGGACCAGTCTAGTTATGTAGAGTACTGTTAGATTCTCAGTGGGTACAAAATACGAAGGCTGGCCAACCGCCTGAAAGAATTCAGGTGGTTGGGGAGTAAAGATAAAAGACCTCAATTCTTCAAGTTACTGTAGACAAGAGGACACACAAGAATACATCACAACATTTTATCTCCATAGTAGTGCCACTGTATTTCTAACAATTACCCACAAAACGGGGCTAGTGTGGTCGGTGATTACCGTGCTAAGCCATGCGGACCGGGGCATGCGTGCAATTCCTATGGTCGTGCGTGTCAGCCTGTGCTAGTGGCGCCATGTGCCTAGCAGCGAAGCATCGGAAGCAACGCGTGCCTGTCACATTAATATGTATATATTGGGTTATTATGTACAGCCGTACTGATTGCAGTCCGTAAGGCATGGAGGAACCTACTTTGTCAAAATGATTTTACGGCCAACACCAAGGAATCACGGCATTTGTCCTCTTACGCTAGCACGGAAACTAGCCCTTCTTCGTATAGATCAGCAAAACATACGCCATGGAGTCACTAGATCTTACTACTATGTTGTGAATGACTTCCGCAATGCAATAATTGAACGAAAAAGCCACGAAGAAGCTGTGGATATTATCATTCACTATGCGGATCAGCTGCATCGTTGTGGAAGATTAGAAGAGGTGAAGCGGCTCTACCGGAAAGCTGCCGAAGATCTAGGACAGAATTTTGGCCGCCATCATTCCTCTACGTTTTTTGTCACCTTCGAGAGGGGAAGACTTCTGCAGCATGTGCGCCAATTTCAAACTGCCGAGAGAATGTATAATCGGGTTCTAAGGGGCATGAAACATCGAAACCCTTACCAGCTGTATTTCTCCAATGAGCTTGGAGTGGTATACGCAGATCAACACGAGCTCCTAAAGGCCGAAAGAGCATTTCAAAAGGCACTACACGGATTTACCGAATTATGGGGTGCCGATCATTTGTGGGCATATACGGCAGCCATCAACCTCAGCAATATCTATCAGACTCAAGGCAAGCTGAAAGAGGCAACGATTCTGCTCCATCGAGGTTTATCCTGTTTAACGAAAGAATTTGGAGTCTCACATGCAGTAATCATGGCAGCACCAAAATTCGTCAAATATATCGACAATTCCATGCACATCAACAACTGGACAGCGCACGAGAATTCTGTGAACTGGCCTTGATCATATTTGAAGGCGTCTTTGGGCGCGATAGCGAAGAAGCACTTGAGATGGCCTGGGACTTGGCTCATATATCAAGAGAACAAGGGAACCCTAGAGAATCCAAGAAACTAATGGACAGGGTTATAGCAGGGCTTAGACAACCTTAGCAGGCATCAAAGCTGTTAAACGGAACAGAGTCCGTTTGTTCCTAATGCTAACATCGACGTTAAGTTTAGCAAGTATAATATTTACCTTACTGTCGAAAATAATGTAAGTTTTATTCGTGCATAATGCATCGCCATTTCTTTGATAGAAAATAATATACAAACTGCTGCTCTTGATTCTTTATGTGAAATGGGGAGCGCATCTGTTCACAAATCTGGTTCTTTTTT